CAACAGCAAAAAAAAAATTTTTTTTCAAAGGTAGAGGCAAGATCCTCAGGGAATGAGAGGGATGATTAGCATTATCGTGATTTTAAATAATAATACATGTTCATATTAAAAAATCAAACCTTATAGTATTATTTAGCATAAAAAGCAAAAAAAAAAAAATTCCTCACCCTAGTATTAATAAATCCTATATTAATAGGATTTAAAATATATATCTAAACATATGTTAGACAAAAATGTTCAGGACTACTAAGAGAAAACATCTAATTAGGGTAAAGTAACTTTCATCAAATATTATAAATCATATCTAATATAAAGCCCTGTTTTATCATTTTAAGTGAAATTTTAAAAAGCAAAGCACTAAATATGTCATTTCTTATAGAAATACCTTTGAAAAGATCAAAACTAAGTAACTAACCAACTAACTTCCATTTGATAATAAATGACATTTTAAGTCATATTTACAGATACCAGGGTTTGTTCTGTAATTACTCTATTCAGCAAGTAGGATAATTCTATTGCATGAACAGGTGTCAATTATGAAGTTGAAGTACTCAGCAATTATAATCACCCTAAAGCTAGGGTTCTCAACCAGAGGCAATTTTGCCCTCCCGAGAACATCTGACAAATTCTAAAACACATTAAGTTGCACACCTAGGAGATTACGCTACCTTGAATTTACCGGATATAGCTTTTCTATCCAAAATCTTCTAACTTCCACCAAGTTTTTGGGTGGAACCAAACAAAGAAGGAGTACAGAACTCTAAGGGATTGGTAGTTCTGCCCTCCAGCTAAGTGTAAAAGGAGCCATCTCAGAGGCAGGAACAGACAACCCCAGAACCATCAAGAAAGAAGAGCATAAGTGGAGAATAGCAGCGACAGGAGAGATAGTGGTATGGAGAAATAGAGCAGCTGCAGACTCCATGGCTGATTTGCCGAAGACAAGAGTGAGGCATACCAACATGCTGATTGGAAATCTGCTGCATCCTGAGTTTTTCTGATCCTGAATTGTGCCCTGTTCACTTTCCTAGTAAATCCCACAATCGTGAGTATTATTATGAGTTTTGTGTGGACACTTCAATGGATTATCAAACCCAGATGTGAAGAAGACAGTGTTGTGGGAGGGATGGTTGGTGTCAGAATAAAGAAAGTTGTATGGTGGAGGCATGACTGACCTCCACTTCATAGAAATCAGCCTTGAGCTGATTTTGAGTTTGATTCCCTTTCCCCCTTGTAAAGTCAGGGGATGCCAGACATGGCTTCTATAAGGTTTTTGCAAAGAGTAATCTACTAGCATCTAGTGGGAGGAGGTCAGGAATACTAACAAACATCCTACAATACACAGAATAGATCCCACACATAGATTTTCCAGCCCAGTATGTCAACAGTGCTCAGGTTAAGAAATCTTGCCCTAAAGAAACTGAAAAAAAAAAAAAGGGGGGGGGGAACTATCAAACAGCATCATTACTAAAAACATAAACCCAATTTATAGCCCTTATGCAGTCCTAGCACAGCACTGTCAGATCAGCACTGAACTGCTAACCATAAGATCTGAGGTTCAAACCCACGATCTACTCCTTGGAAGCGACTCAATGACACATAACAACATAATATAGATGACGTTACAAAATTTAGAGCTCTCTGGTCACACAGGCTCGCCATTCGAGAACCATTCAAGAATAAAATCTGATCTAGGAAAAAGATTACTTAGTGAATTTCCATGCCCCCTCCAATACTGGAGCAGCACTAAAATTCTAAGGAATCAGGTTGGGTTCAGCAAGGCTAGCCATAAATTCTACAGGTGTCAAGTCTGCATCTCCCTTGTTCACGTTGCATCCCTGTTGTTAAGTGCCACTGAGTCGGTTCTGACTCATAGCGATCCTGTGTAGGGTTTCCGAGGGTCAGCTGGTGGGTTTGAACTGCTGATCTTGTGGTTCAGTCCAGTGCTGATCCTACAGCGCCACCCACTAGGAGGCCTGGTGTTGTATCCCTAATACATGGCATACTGTTAGGCATTCAACAAACATCCGATACGCGGGTATTAAAATGCGGAGTATGTTGACAGAGAAAACCGTACATCTATCAGTCCACGCTTTCATCCTTGATGTGACAGCGGCTGTTAACATCCACAGAAGCCCAATAGGCTTCTTCTGTTTTATAGAGCTTGTTTATAAAGAGTCCAAACACAGCTCAGGGAGGCTAACCTCTGTGTTCAGCTCCTAACTAACGCAGTGACCATAAGATCCTCTTCTACTCGTGCTAAACTGCACACTAGGGCAACATCACTAGCTTCTGGATCTCCCCAAATCCGGGACTGATCAGGGCCCAATTAAAACAGAAGCTAGGGGCAAGATCAAGGCAAGAAGCCGCTGCCCCACCAGGAGAACCCCGAAGAGCTCGAGAATGCGGGTGGAACTTGAAAGACTCACCTCAGGAAGAGACTTGCCACAGCTGAGACTGTAAATCTTCACCTCGTTGAGGCTGGAGACCTGCATAGCGGCGTCGAGTCGCGGCAAACCCTGTTAGAGTTCAGGCCACTCTCAACTGTGTGGGCTCAAGCTCAGCAGCGTGGAGCAGCTGGCGTAGTCTGATGATGCACTTCCTGGCGCCGGAAGCGCACACGTTCGAGAAGAGAGAGTAGGGGAAGGGAAGACGCCGTTGGGACTGGCGGCGGTACTGGTACAAAAAGCGGAAAATCCTAAGTAGCAGACTGTGGTGTTATAGCCACTGTCCGGGATGACATGTCGGGCGAGGACGGAGTGGTACAACCCAAGCTGATGAGAGGCTTTGGGATCTCTCTGGCCAAAGAAGGAGGCCTGTGTGCGGGCGAATTCAAAGGAAAACTGTGTTATTGTTTTCTCTTCCCCGATGTTTCCAATGAACATTGGTGGCTCAGTGGGTTAAGCGTTGGGCTGATCAGCT